CCCCAAAACCCCAAAACCCCGTTATTATAAGATCATTGATATTTTAATGGTGAATTAAATCAAAAGCCATAATAATTTCAAGAATGCTGATTAAATTCTACTCTAAGGCATTTTATTTCAAATGGCTTGAAATTTATTGTTTGTACTTCACCATTTTTTTATTATGGTAGTGCTTGAGCATTGGTTGTCTCAAATCTAATAAGCTCCCTATGAGCGAAAAGCTATTAATCTTTTGAAGTTTGATGAATAGGTAAATCTAAATTTTTATTCTTAGTCAAGCAATGAGCTGCAAGACTTTCATCGACTACTTCCACTTTTATATCTGTCATCTCAAGTGCCATTATCTGTCTTGAAAGTTTCATTACAGCATTGTGCTAGTTCCTTAATCTTAAATAGGTTGTATTGCTTATTCTCACAAAGTCAATTAGTTCAAAATCTTATAGAGCAGTCTAGTTTCCCAGGTCAACAATAGGTTAGTCGTAAGGGGAAAGTGGTCTTTGCATTTAAGCCTATATTACAATGAAATTTTCATTCTGATTTTCAATATTATGCTTTCTACTTTCAAGAACAGTATCTTTTTCCTCTTTTAAACTGATAAGCAAGTCAAACCTTGTCAAAGTACTATCTTCTAGCTTATCTTGAAGACCTTTTTCCCAGTTAACATTGTTTATTGACCTTGTCAAGAAGAAATCCAATGTATCAGATTTCGTAGTTTTCAAACTTACTCCTCCTGGCCTGTTAGTCACAATATTCATGAGATTTCCATTTCTTTCTGTATCCCATATTATGCCATTTACAAAAGGATAGGTTTACTTTCCAACTTTTGATAAGCCTGAGTTCTTCTCGTCATAAGTTCTAAGGATATGAAAAGCAGAATTATCTGTATAGACTCTATATTTATATTGTTGACTTCTTCTCAATTGAACCATAATTTCACGATTGTCAAAGCTCTGGATCTCATATGATATGTTGTAGAAATGTGAATGAGCTGGGGATTTGCTTAGAGTAAATATTTTAGATAGCCTACTAGTACCTCTCAACTCATTTAGCTTCATGTAATTAAATCTGACTTATTTGTAATACTTAGTTTCTTTCTGAGTAATATTTACGAATTCATAATCTTCAAGAACTTTTTAAGCATCTTTGGGGTTGAATAAGAAAATGCAAGAATGAGTGTTATCAGCAGGATAGAATACCACGCTCTCTTGAAGTTCCTCATCCTGAAATTCTTGCTCAATTAGTCTGCTTTTAAATCTTAGTTAGAGAATTTCCTTCTTTGTTATGTCAAAGCTAATTGTAAGATGATATTTATCATTTGAAAGATCGTATGCTGATTAAATGCTCAGTTATTCCTCTGTTATCAGCATTTTTGGATTATAGGTATTCATTTACGATTCTCTAATAATCAAACTTCTTAACTCAAACGGTTTCATTTATAGTAAAATCTCTGCTTTGTATTATCTTTCAGCTTCAATTTCATGCAAATCAAATGGAATTTCCTTAGCAGTAATCAAATCAAGCACTTTTATACTATTAGATAATAGCATAACTGTTGCTATATTAGTTTGGTTTCTTGGAAGTGGATTAAATATAGTCACTTAAAATTCACCTCTGCTTCTATCATTATTTTAAGATGCTTACTTCTATCTCGTAAAATCAATCATTCTATCATAAATTTATGCTCGAGAAAGCCTTTCTGTTAAATCGTAGCTAATTTAGTTAAGTGCTTATCTAGCCTAAGATATTTTATTAAAATAATCTTATTCTGGGGCTTGACTGCATGTACCAGCTATTGCATCATGGTGTAATAAGATTGATATGTCATTCCTGACTCTCTGGAGATCTTTTATTTTAAGGTTGAGGTAATTTTAGAATAGTTCTAATCTTTACTAAAAATCCTTTTGAACTGCTTCTGATGCTTCACTTTCAGTCATTTTAATAGTCTTGAGCCTCTCAAGTTCACATTAACTCACAAAGAAGAGGGTCTCGACTCCCTTAAAATAGTTGAAGATTTACTTAATTTGACTCTTGAGTTCTGGCCTACTCCCATAAAATCCAGTCCAAGCATCACCGTTACTCTCATCATAAGGAAGCATATCGCCTTTGTAAATTTTTGAGAAATCTAAATGTGGTTCTCTTCCTGCTTCAACTCCTCCAAATTACTTATGAAGATCAGTAAATGTAGCGAATTTGATATTGATCTTATCATCATAATATCTCATTAGATTTTTAATAATCAGATGAACGTTTCCGAAATTATTAGGTGACTGCTGAAATGAGAAATCACCCCCAAACATCTAATAAGCTACATCATGTCCAGTTGAATCATCTTGAAAAATTTAGTCTGCCAGGTGTTTCTTGATAAAACTTTCAGCGCAATTATCATTTTCCTTGAAACAGCTATCGCCTGAATACTTGCTCTTGTCAAGATTAAACAAATCGTCAAGTTTATAGTCATTAACTCTGTAAACTTTTATTTTTTTATCATTGTCACCTTCCCATGTAAAGAAAAATTTCTTTTATGCTTTAAACTCCTATGACATCTCATTTGGCATTCTATTAACAACAATGCCTTCATATCCTAAGTAGTGATATAAATAAGGAGAAATGGATGAGTGACCATATGCATCAATGCTGGTGATAAGTTTAGGCAAGACTCCAAATGTCTCATTAATGAATTGTAGGCCGCTATCAAACATCATGATTATACTCTTATAGTCGCTCAGTGATTCATCATGCTATACGGGAGCCCCATTTTCAAGTGAAAATATTCCTCTTTCAATGAATTACTTAAGTTAATCTTTTGTTGATGATATAGTATCTTCATTCCACCATCTCATAAAAAATGCAAAGTCCGACCAGATAAATTTCTCCTTGTTTTAATTCAGTGAATCCTCTGTTCGATATTTCTAATTCAAGTAGTTGAAAGTTGATGTTAAAATATTTCTAACTCTTCCATGGTAGTAGACATTGAATGTCAGCCATTTCCCTGCCTCAGTATGAGAATGAGGAATCACAAAGTATGTTAGATTGTTTTAGTTTAATGACTTGTATACTTATGTATCATCGGTTAATTATCGTTGATTTTGATCACTCAAAGAATCATCATTTAGAAATATTTGATTTGATTAGGCATATCTTCCAAAAGCAATCAGTAATAGTAGCAAGAGTCTCTAAAATACTATCGTTAAAAAGGAAAATAACTTTAAAACTCACCATTTGCTTTCTAATTATATTTAAATTATTTGTAAATTTAACTTATCTAATCATATTTGCCATTGGGGTTTTGGGGTTTTGGGGAGATCGGAAGAGCG